AGACAACTGGACGTCTGAAGCCAAAGTTCCATTTACGTCCTTGACCGCCCATTTCATAGACAAATCTTGGGATAATATGTATGCCGTAACTTTGTCGTGCCGTGCGACGCATTTGGGACACACTGGACTAAACCTAAGAGACTTTTTTGTGGATGAGCTCAAGTCTTGGGATCTCGACCCTAAAAAGTGTGCAGCACTGACATCTGACAACGCGTCGGAGATGCGGCTTGCATGTGAGCTCATGGACATCCCACACATGCGCTGCATAGGCCACACAATTCAGAACGGTGTCGAAGAACTTCTGAAACAACCGACCATCAAGCCTGTTATAAAGGAAGCGAAAGAACTTCTAAATTGGGCCAACGGCGCAAAGGTGCGAAACGCATATGTTGCATGGGCGCAGAAGACGCACAACGCTACTCCTAAAGTCCTCCCTTCCATCTCTCCCACTCGCTGGTGGACAGAGCTCACTCTACTTAAACAAATTGTAGAAAGCCATGATTATCTACGAGAGTTTGCCGCGGCATACCAAAGAGGCAAATATTTGACCACTATTCCAGGTACGGTCGGGGTACTCTCATTTTTTAAATACTTTTACTTCGAAATAACACTGTGAAAAATAGTCGCAGATTTAGAGGAAAATTTTCCATGTCTGTTATAAAATTAAAATTCAAAACTGTAAATTTACAAGCAGCAATTCGCATCGACTTGGAATTGATCGAAAGAGCGATGGGCTGTCGTAGATTTACAACATATTTTGTAAATAGAAATAAAAAAATGACAAACATTTACAAGGATATTTTTCACAGTGATTATTTTTTTTCAAATCAGTGAACACTTAAGTTGCTATTTGTCTCATTATGTGATGCTTTCGATAACAATAACATTATTGCGATTTTTTTTTTACAGGAGCGAAAACAATGTACATTATGCGCGCTCTTGTGGCGGCTCTACGCCCGCTCGAGGACATTGTCTCGGACTTGTCCGGTGACAACTACGTCACCGCGAGCGCGGTCCTTCCCGTGCTTCACCTGTTAGAGGCAGGTTTTGAAGGTGACGACGAGGCACTACCCTATGCTGATGACCTTGATGATGACCTCGTAAGGAAATATTAATTACAAGTCTTGTTCATCACTGTACTATTGACGACTATTAATGCTTTCCTTTACCTCCAGGAATTTGATATAAATGACTTCAAGCCCTCGGCATTGCGCGAATTTGTTGTCAAAAAACTCAAGAAGCGCTTCTGTCCGGATCCACTCGACGAAGAGGAACTTGCACTTCTCAATCCCCAAATGCAGGCTACAGCACGCATTGACTTCAAATCTGCGCAGCAGTGCCATGACCTCCTGGTCCAGTGCAGTTTTCTCGATCCTAGATACAAGGGGGAAATTCTCGCCGAGGAGAGAGAGAAAGCAAAAAGACTCCTTACGGAGCAGTTTGTTGCATCTATCGGCGAAGGTAAGTGCGTCACTTAAGTTTTTAGGTATCGGCAAGTTTTGACCTTGGAAGTCTTCTTTTACTACTGAATCACTGTTACGTACAGGGTGTTTCATGAAAGACACAGGTGCCCGCGGGTTTGCCTACCCACTCTGCTCGTAAGGCGCCACAGCCCCTTGGGTAGGCAAACCCGCATGCACCTGTGTCTTATGAAACACCCGGTATATGGGCAGAAACACGCGGTACAGTTTTATCAGTAAAAATGCACAAGGCAAAACGAGACGTCGATCCTAGTTTGTTGTTGAATTTATTTGCCATATCAGTCTAACAATTGGCGTCTTCTCCTTCCCACCCTTGTCACACCGATAGGCCCCACCACTGACAACAGGAATGGCGACTCCAGTGCCCAGGGCGAGCAGGAGTCCACCACCAACCCGCGCAAGAGGTCAGCACTCCAGTCCCTCTTCGCTAAGAAGAAAAGAGCCCCACAGGAGGGAGTCGACGGAGCTGCTACCGCAGTCGATCTGACGCCAGAAGCGAAGTTTGCGGAAGAGCTTGCCCGATATGACAACTTGCCTACCGTCAGCATGGAGGTTGATATTCGTCTCTGGTGGAAGGAGAGATTTGATTCATATCCAATGCTGCAAAAGCAGGCAAGGCGCTACCTCTCGATCTGTGCCTCGAGCACACCATCGGAGCGACTGTTCAGCGATGGTGGGAATGTGGTAACTGACAGCCGCTGCTGCTTGTCTGACTCCAACGCATCAAACTTGATTTTTCTTTCTTCGAATAGGAAATTTATTAAGAGGCCCGTCTAACGTCTAGTACGTCTAGTCCCTCTCTGGCTAATTTGTTCTTAGTTTTCTTGCTACTTTAAAGGTTTACCAACACTAAACAGTCCATCCCTTA